TGTATTAATGCGGCAAAGTGTAAATTTGGTCAAACAAAACTTGCATTCCTGGGATACGAAGTGTCAGCTGAAGGACTTAAACCTCTTTCAACGAAAGTTGATGCCATCAAAAATTTCCCAGAACCAAAGTCATTTACTAGTTTAAGACGATTTTTAGGTATGGTGAATTTTTATCACAGATTCATACCAAATTGTGCGAAAACTGCAACAACCTTTAACAACATTGCTCAGTGGTATTAAAAAGAACTGCAGAAAAGAAATAACCTGGACGGCAGAAACAAGAAACGCCTTCCAGATCTTAAAAGATGCACTTATTCATGCCACAAACTTAACTCACCCATCCGAAAAGGCTGAAATATCGCTAACAACTGATGCTTCCGATACTGCCATTGGAGCCGTTTTACATCAGATTGTGAATAATGAAAAACAACCCTTAAGTTTCTTTTCCCGAAATTTGACATCAGCACAACAAAAATATAGTGCCTACGACAGAGAACTCTTAGCCATCTATACAGCAGTAAAACATTTCAAATACATCTTAGAAGGGCGAACTTTTGCAATATACACGGATCACAAACCACTAACATTTGCCTTCCAACAAAATTTGGAAAAAGCTTCGCCACGACAAGCTAGACAACTGTCATATATTGGCCAGTTCTCAACCGATATCCGATTCATACAAGGGCATGAAAATACCGTCGCTGACGCTCTCTCTCGCATAGACACCATTTCTGTACCATCTGCAATAGACTTACAAACTATAGTAGACTGTCAAGAAGATGACGACTTGGAGATACTAAAAAACAACCCAAACTTAAAAATCCTACAGATCCCTATACCGGACAGCGACAAGAAAATTTACTGTGATACTTCTACAAATTATAATCGACCATACATCCCTGCAAAGTTTCGGCAGAAAATATTTTCTTCAATCCATAATTTATCTCATCCTGGAATAAGATCCACGATAAAATTGATAACACGACGTTTCATATGGCCCAATATGAATAAAGACTGCCAACTATGGACTAGAGCATGTTTATCTTGCCAAAGATCTAAAGTTCACAGACATACACAGTCATCTTTGGGAGAATTCAAAGTACCTCCACACAGATTCCAGCATTTAAACATAGATCTGGTGGGTCCGCTACCTCCTTGCAAAGGATTCAAATACCTTCTAACCATCATCGATCGTTATACACGATGGATCGAAGCGGTACCGTTAGAAGATCAATCAGCAGAATCTATTGCTAAAGCTTTGATTTATACTTGGTTTTCACGCTTTGGAATTCCGAATCGCATAACATCTGACCAAGGTCGGCAATTTGATAGCCAACTTTTTCAAGCTTTAGGAAAATATCTATTTAATATAAAATGGTTTTTCATACAAACACTACAACTGCGTACCATCCACAGGCAAATGGCCTGATCGAAAGACAACACCGAACTTTAAAAGCAAGTCTCAAATGTCATCTACTCGAATCAAAATCATGGCTGGAAGCATTGCCTTTCGTTCTTTTAGGCATAAGATCTGCCATCAAGGAAGACTTAGGTTGCTCATCCGCAGAACTTGTATACGGAACCCCTTTAGCATTACCTGGTGAATTCTTTTCAACAGTACCTCATATGAAACAGTCTGAATTTTCTCAAAACCTTCAGAAAATAATAAGAGCTATGAAGCCAAGTTCTACCACCACCCATGGAAATAGAACAGTCTTTGTTTCTAAACATCTTTCCAACTGTTCTCACGTATTCCTATACAACAACATTAATAATTCGTCGTCGCTACAGCCTGTCTATCTTGGACCGTATCCTGTAAGAGCAAGAAAGGATAAGTACTTCGATATTGAAATCCAAGGAAAAGTTAAAAGAGTTTCAATAGACAGACTAAAGCCATGTTTCCTAGTGCAAGATTCTGATATTCCTTTCCAAAACTCCCATTCCAAGAAAGCGGAACTGGGAAACACCTGCACTCAAGAACACTGAAGAAAATTCAGAAACTCATCATGAAAACCAAGACTACTAGAACCGGCAGACATGTGAAGTTTTCCCCAGTCACTTTAAAGACTATCTTCCATAATCGCTGTCACTAGGAAGGGGGTGTGTAATGTCGCTTCAGTTCCGTTAAGTTTCTAATTAAATTTAGTTAAAGCGGAATGGCAACACCTTCTAGTCTCCGCGAAGAACGAAGTAAACAAACTTCGAGTTTTTGTCACGCGATGCTACGTGCATGTAAAATGTAAATAAATCTTATGAATAAGAATCTATAACATCGTAAGGAATAAAATATTGCTTCCATTGGAGTCAGAGAAGTGTTATTTTTCTGTATTTGCACACCAGACACTTCACTCAGCAACGTAAGAAATTGTTTTAAGATTACAATTCTGAACTTTGACCAGCTAGTAGTTGTATGAAAATTTTACCACTAAAGAATTTTATTCAAATTATCTATTTCCGTAAAATAAACATAAAATTGTTTTACTAAGAAGATTATCTGTTATTTTGTCAATTACCTACAAAATACATTACAATATATACATATGTATATATTTATATATATATACTTGTATATACATTTGGAAAATCGAGATCTGTCTTATACATATAAAAGATAGATTATGTATCATGATAGGTTATGAATGGTGTTTTTTAGACATTTATGATAATTTTATTATTTGTATGTATTTGTCTTCATACTTGTATGTGTTTATCTTTACTTATCAGTTTAAAAATCTGGATAATATTCGACATCTATTTGAAACAGTACAATGTACTTAGTTTGCCCCAATAACACCAACCAACCAATTCCCATTTTCATGTTTTTCTTATACCTTACAAAGTTTATAAGGTACATTTCATGTTTTGTAGTGGTGATCTTTCGCTTGAAAATGCAAAATTATATCTTGAAAACTTCACATACATGAATGATATTCCATAACATAAAATATTCTGGTTAAATCCTATCTTAAATGCTTGAAACTGAAAATTATCTCATGTATTTCTCAGTATAACACACGCAAATTGGTATAGAACAATGTCTTGTATCTAAAAATACTTTCTGATAGCCTATTTTCCCTTTTTGCAACAGAATGTCATGAGAAAAATTGATTACAAGAATGCACTGCAAACACTTTAACTGTTTGGTTTTTTACTTATGTACAGTACTTATTTATAAGTACAGTACTTATTTATAAATACGAGCCAGTTTCCCTTAGAAAGTCCTCCACGAAAAGTATTCCTCCCCTTAGGCAGATAGCCCTCGTGTGCTTTGCCATAATTAAATACACCAACACCAACTATTTATAAATACCTCTTTGAATGAGTCTATTTCTCGTTTTCTATAAATGGAGATTTTACTCCATATACTGCTGAAAGCTCGAGATGTTTTTATTCACTAACAATATTTAACTGGTTCCAATTTTTAGAATTTCTGACTGTAGACTTTTTATAGCACTAATATATTCTATAAATAATAAGGTTTTACAAACTGTTTAGTTGTTAGTTGTTTAGTTGGTGTTATAATGAAAGTCATAGTCACTTACATTTATAACTATATTGATAATATACTATGGGAGGAAAAACAGTTTGACATTAATGAAATAGTTAACACTTAAGTTATAAGAATCATTGCTAAAATAATATGATACAAACTCTTTAAGAGATTTATGAATAAATGAGTATTGTAAAATTTTCCATTTAATGGAAATATTAAGAAATGTTACTTCAAATGGTTACTACATAATATTACGTGTGGGACTTGTAACTGCACACTTTGACCAATTTATACACTGTATAATGTTATTTTGGCCAATTGGATTTTTGAGCTTAATAAAAGCAATTCTTGTTGTTTAATCATTACCTATTTAAATAAAATCTGTATTTTACTTACATTCTATTATTCTCAAATTTAAAAGAAATACATGTATGCTTTATAGTAAATACTCTCTAATTAATGTGTAGGACAATTTAAAGATTTTGGAATTCTGTAAAAAATTCAAATTTATGAGAAATTCCATGCATTGAAAATAATAACAGGCATTCTTTAACTATTAATCATAGATTTATTATAGAATTGATTATGTAAAACTACTAGAGATTTAACTCTTTGAAGGCTTTAACATAATAGAAGTCTATCTTCTGCTATGTTTCTATGTGTGAAAGACGACAAGCCCTTTGCATGACATTTGACCTACGATTTATGCATAAACGTTTTATGGAATACCGTCTCATTTTGTAATAAATTAACAGTGAAAAATTTAAAATGGTCTGCAAACTTAGACATTCAATATTTATTATAATTATTTTTCAATTATTTTTCATAATTAATGTAAGGACAAATACTAAAAAATGTATACAGCAAAATTGGACATTACAAATTCATAAAGCCATAATAATGCATTCTACAATTTTCACAGTAGGTTTTTTAATCTATAGACGCAAAGGTGATAATGAATTTTGCTCATTCTAAGGCCAATATATCTGATACACCAATGTGTATATATTTTGTAAAACAGACAGAAAAATTGTAAGAGTTTTTTTTTATTTGGAAAGAAAATATACAGGAAACTTTAGAAAGCCAATAACCGTAAGATCACTGATATTTCCTTCTTTCTGAATTGAAAAATTAAAACGTGCAGTTATTTGTAGCTGGATTCTTTTGTTATTTGGATGTGCGAAAGTTTAATTTATGTGTCTTCTTGTAAAGTAAAGCATATATGAATATGCAAGCATATTTATTACTCAGTAAGTATTAACATTTTAAATGACTAAAATATGTTTTTTTTATGTCAGTCAATGAAAATCAAATGATATCAATAATGATGAAATAAAGAATGAAGATATACTTATCTTGGAAAAAAGAAATTTCCATAATGTTATATTTTCCCTGCCTTGTAAGATACAATATTTATATTCAGCACATTTTTATGCATGCTTCCTTGACATGACTAATTCTTAACCTTTGGAGTAATTTTCAGTAAATAGTCATAAAAACTGAACCATTTTTGTTTTCCAGACTTTATTCAGAATACATAATAATTATTGTACATAGCTTTTAATCATCTTTTATATACTAAAAATGAAGTCTCTAAACATAACAAATAGAATTACCTGAATGGAGCATAAATACTTATATTCAACAGTGTTATTTAAGAATCTATGATATAGTGCTAGCCTCAATTTCAGAAAATTCTGCTTGTATACTTTGCTCTCGACTTTGAAGTACGTCCAGTCTTCTGATCATTCTCTACTGAAAATAAAGGAGACTAAATTAACTTACTGAGATAATTGCAAAAGCAATGCACTATTCATTCTAAGAACATAAACCTGATATACTAAAAATGACCGGATGTATTATGAGATTATATACTGATAGAAATATTTACGATACTTACATTTTACCCAAACTTACCAAACTTAGTTTCTTCTTTGAAAATAAGAGAAAAGTTTGGCATGTAGGTTCCCGAAAATGCATTATTAACATAAAATGAACTATTCCCTATCATCTGCATGTGGGGAATATCAACTTGGTTAAAGGAGCTCACTGTTGCCCTCTTTATAATAATTTTCTCATATAATACCAAGTTTAAAAAAGTTTACAAACAAAAGCATATTACAAAGTTTACAAACAAAAGGATATTTATTTGTTTACCAATCTGTAACAGAATAAAGCAAACTATGAAAAAATTCGTTTATACATACAGAAACTGTAACCTGTATGACAACAGATAAAAAAAACTGCAAAATATGTGTTCATAATATTTTCTTTCTTTTGAAAATTACCAACAGAATGAAATGCTGCAACGAAAAACATTTCTAATTTCAGTTTTGTTTTTATTTTAAATAAATCAATCACTTTGAATTATACTCTTGTATATCAGTTTCCTGAATTCAGTTATATTAGCCGGCATATTTAAATTTTCATTCTGGACCCTCCAATGAGCATAGTAGGATACTAAACCACCTCAGCTCATTTTATCAATTTACAAAATATGGGAAGGGAAAATTATTTTCCATTTAGTGTTAAAAAATACTTTATGGAAACCTCAGACTATATATGAATTAAAACACGATACTCTTGCCCGCGCAATTTATTTCGTGGATCACAAAATTCAAAAACCACATCTAGAATTAATTACTTAATGGTAATTTAAATTCTCAGAGATTAAAAATAATTTTTCTGATTTTAATCTTGTTAATAATGGCCCTTTAGTCAACAATTTGCTTTAGGTATTTGTAAGTTAGACTTAACAAAGGTAAAATCTTCACAAATGTTTAAAATTTTCAATAAAATAAAACATGAAATATAGAATTATAGAGCCATCTCTTTCGAAAACACGAAGAGACATTTAAACAATGTTCTTAATCATAAAAGGTTCTGTTGATTTCAACATATATGGTGAATTTTAATATCATATACTTTTAAGCATGATTTTGTCAAATCTTCATTCATTCTAATATTTACTGAACAGTTTGGCTTTGACGAAAATATATATATTGTTTTGCTTTGTGTGAGGTGAAACATTCTCAATTAAAGTATTATAGATAAATTTTCTAAATTGAATGTTATTTACATGCTGAAATGCCTAATAACAATGCTTTCATCGTTCTGTAAAGTATGCGGTAGACATTGAATATTCCATATACCAATTAGTTTGTAACTGACTGTTAATTAGATTAGACCATTTATTAATTAAGTTTATGTATTTTGCATTGAATGAATTTATTAAAGAGTCATGTAAATAAAAATCATTTTTTAAAAGCTGCTATGATCAGAATCCGATGAGAATCTCTGAAAGCAGGAATCTATAAATATTTGAAATAATTCAAAGAAACAGGGAAAAAAATTGAAAATAAAAATAGATAAGCTGGGTAATCGAGGAATGAACAAAATTATAATATATTCATTACCACTTTCTAAAATTTTGCATAAAAATGATTACAGCAAATAACCATCTTCTAACAAAATCTGCACATACCAAATTTATAAAAAGTTCTCTTCTTATATTGATATAAAGACCTAACGTCTTTAAAGCAAAAGGATTGAAACTGTAACAACCGATTTGAAAAATTCTTACAGAAATACCTTCGTTTGATGGAAAGGAATATGATTTATTTTCATCAACTCTGGTTAAGTCATACAGGTATTTATCATTGTCTTCTTTAAATCGAAGGCTATGTTTTTTAATTTAATTTTCTTTTCAAAAATTTAATTTTTCTGGATCATCTACATTATCATTACAAATCTTGATTTTTGCATTGCTGACGTTTCTGTAATTTTCGCTTTTTAAACGTTTTAAACAAATGTGAGTTAAATTTTTGATTTGGTGCAGCTGGTTATAATGCACTTGAACGCGGTCTTGAATTTTCAACCGAGTTTTAAATTTCTGTATATTTTGAGACTAACGAATTTAATGTTGTTTAATGCTGCACGAACACACTTTAACATGGTATTTTCGACTTTCGGTTGTCATTAATTGAAGTAATTCTTCTGCTAACTTCGCATTTGCATTTACTTTTTGTTCAATAATTTGTGGATCAGAATACACTTTTATCGATTTCATATTTTCATTGCAATTCATATTCAATTCAATATTAATGCATAAGGGGTTAAGGAATATTTTTTGCATTGAGGAATGAATTCACTTTATGTGCAGAGCAGTTTATCTAAACAATTGCAGTGATAAAAGTGACTACATAATGACAAACATGATAGTTTAGGGCCTGTATAAAAGAAAAAATCTTACACGGATAAATTTCAAAAAGATTCTGCACGGTATATATAAATATATATATATTTTTAGACCAAATTGGTCTTTCAGTATTGTAATTACTACCTAGCTTGTTAAATATATATATATAAATTTTTGTCTGGAAACAAACTTTCAAGAATTATCAAAGCATGTATTTACATCAATGTCCATAATTTTCATTCTTTTCTGATGTCTATTTAAGAAACAAGAAATAAAATTTCTGTGAGATTATATCAGCGTATAATTTTAGGTATGATTTAAATGTATGTCTGGAAGTGTAGAAATAAGAATATCTAATCGTCTATTATATTCCTCGGCATAAAATGAACGTTTTCTACTAACTGTGAAATGATTCACAGTACATGTTGGTATTAGAAATGCATGCGGAAAGTTTCGATAACATCAATCCCAGTTTTCTAATCTATTCTTAGAATTTTCCGAAAAATATTCAACAAAATCTCTACTTTTCCCAAACTAATAAGTCACTAAAAACTTATTTGTTTGATCATGAAAAGTGATCTAATTTTTTCATGCAATAGTTTGTTAATTCTCTTAGAACGTTTTGCCTTACTTCCTTATTCACTACTATAGAAGCTGTGGGAATCAACTTTGTCGTACATGCCACAAACACAAAAGGTGCTTAACATTTTGGCCCAAACTTCTAAAAAGTGCAGAATATGTAACGTTTTCATCGCACAGTTTACATATAAATTACATATAAATATAAATTTGGTACATGATAAATCAAACTATTAAACAAACAGTAAAGACTGTCAGCATCTAGAAAGTTAGTAATAAAATAACTAACCGGATAGCCATAACCAAATTCATCAGGTACTACAAGGTTAAAAAAGTACGTAAAAACCATACTGGCTACTCATATGCGTAGAATCGATACACAAAATCGTTGTTCAACTTTTTATCATTATTATTTTTTTTTTTTTGTTTGCATACCTGAAGACCGAGAGCGAATGATATTTTACGATTTGGAAGATTATCTAGATCAGCTGGACCTTATAAGAGTTGAATTATTTTGAGGCTTATATAATAACACAGGATTGTTAGCTTCACATTTAAAATTTTCAGTGATTGAATTAACAAAAACTGCGTCACTATTTCAACGCAATGAATTACTAAAATATCTAGAATATGCAGAAATAGCTTTACGAGAGACAAAGGTTTCTTTTACAAGGAATTATTCTATTCTCTCCATTTCCTGATCAATCTTGTACAAAAATTAGAGACAAACATAAATTGGCTTTTACCAAACATCGCGTACTTTGTTTCAATGATTGGTATTTGCAATTTTCAGACATTGCTCATGGTTATGTTTAGGGAAGTAAAAGAACGGAGATTTTATGCTTCTCTTCACAAGTCTATATTCTCACTGGACAACATATATATTTTTAGAAATTCTACCTTTTTCATTTTTACGACTAGTTTTCCCGCTGCTCAAAATCATAATAACTTTGCGTGGTAAATTGACAGCAATAATAATGATAAGATTTAGAATTTTTCGTTACTTTAGAAAATGTTTATTTTTTAGACTAATTTACTAGTACTTCTAGTAAATTACTAGTACTTCTGAATTAAATAAATGTCGATGTTCCTTCCCGTTCTAATCAATTTTAAAAATAATCCATTGCTTCAAATAAATAATCTTTTAAGTTATTTAAATTAGGTTCATTTGCTAAATATTTAAAACTTAAAACAAATGCAAAGGACTTCAAGCATTCAGGTATAGACCCTTAATTATGATTTATCAGCCTTCGTGCATAATTTCTTATGTTTTGAAAATTTATAATTTGAAAAGATTACAGTTTTAAACTTTTGGGAATTACAAAGAATAAATAGATATATAATGTATTTTAAATTAGGTGCTTGTTTATTTGAGCAATATTATGCGATTATGAAATGAATTTTTCAGATTTCTATTCAGCTTCTGAGAAAGAATCTTGGAAAGTTAGATATCAACATACAGGAACTTTTAATGCAACCTCAGAATATTTGACATAGGAGCAATTTTTAACAAAACAAGATTGCCCTGAAAATAGACAGATGTATGAAAACGTTATGAAAAAAATAATTTGATCATCAACAAATGCGATTACGAAAAGGAGAATAATTTTTTTGCAATAACAGTTGGTTAGAAAAAGGGTATTCCAAAATATTTCAAAATAACGAGCCACTACCGACGTAAAGAAGATTATACTCCAAAGATTCAAATTAAATGGTGAATCATTTCGATTCAAACTTACTATACACCAGATACAACCTGCGATTTTATGGAAAGACCTTCTTACGAATTAAGTAATTATCTCGAAATGGGGCTATGTGATCTTACGGCTCGATTTTACAGATTTTGAATGACTTAAATACTTGATACTCACGGTTCAGCTTAAAAGAATAGTCAGTAATGATGTTGATGAGCATTTTGTTGACTCTTGGGAAAAATAGTTCCATCTGAATTAATCTAGAAATTCAATGATTACGAAGC